ACGAAGTATAGAGTTGCTTGATTAAATTTATGGTTCGTAGGCCGGGAAAGCAGGCAGTGAGACCAAATGGCATGGTGACAGTAACTCCCTCCTCATTCTCCTGAAATGCTTTAGGGCCGGTGTTCCTGGGAAGCATCAGGACCTTCCACCCTGGTCCTGGCTGGCACTAGAGATAAGGCCTTGTGTAAGATCAACATCTTTTATGGAAGGCAGTAATTCTAAAATCAGTCTCAGGCACAGATAACATCTTTCACTGTGTAGGAAAGATGACTTCCTTCATTTTTCACGATCTCCTCCCACATTCCAACTGCACTAATAAAAGTCCCTCGAAACTGTGAGCTGAGCTGATTTCTGGTCAGACTTCATTCTGGCCTTTAAAATAAAGTCTATCCTTCATCCCTGAACTGGCTTCCTTCTTGCGGACTATGGCAGGACTGTATCACTAAACCTCTCATAAATGAGATGGCTGGCCTATGGGGGGGGGGGGTGGCTAGTTCAGCACCTGGCCTGTAATAGGTGTTCAATTTCAGTAGGTTGTGTATTGTGTTATTGTTCGGATAATCTGAACGACTTTTCAAAGAAGCTCTGTGAAGGCAGGGACTCCTACTACTCATGTCACTGCAGTGCCTGGAACGTGCTAAGTGCTCAGTAAACTAATTCAATGTGTGAATACGTAAAACCTGCAAGGTTATTTATTGCTTAAATTGGATAATTATGTTTTTGTAAGGTTTTGGAATAATTTGTGTTCTTATTACTGTTAATTTTTGAACTTCCTAATGTTTCCCATGAAGGCAACAATACAAAACATTTCAAGTTGGGGTCGTTCCAGAGAATTCAGACTAATCAACTGTCTATTATATCTATCAGTCCTTATTTTTCACCTCTTTGATTACGTTTTTCTTAAACCTTATGGCTCATAGTGAGCAATTCATTTACTCTGAATCTTTTACTCTTAAAATCTGAACAGCACGGTTACACATTCACTCATCCTTTTCTTTTCTTTTTTTTTTTTTTTTTAAGTCAGGGCCTCAAGCTGTCCCCCTGGGCAGAGTACCGTGGCATCACAGCTCACAGCAACCTCCAACTCCTGGGCTCAAGTGAGTCTCCTGCCTCAGCCTCCCAAGTAGCTGGGACTACAGGCGCCCACCACAACGCCTGGCCATTTTTTGGTTGCAGCCATCATTGATGTTTGGCGGGCCCGGGCTGGGGATTCGAACCCGCCACCTTAGGTGTATGTGGCTGGCGCCTTAGCCGCTTGAGCCACAGGCACCGAGCCCATCCTTTTATTTTCTGCATGCAATTGATATCTTTAAGAATAAAACATTGAGAAAGATGATAATGTTTTGTGTTCTTCAGGGTGCTGAAAACAGTAAGTGCCTAGGAGACATTACAGGTCATGCCAAAGAAATACAAAGGATCATTGTAAATTATTACAAACAACCTTATGCTAACAAATTGGAAAACCTATGAGAAACAGATAAAATTCTTGGATACATACAATCTAACAAAATGGAACCAACAAGAAATAGAAAACTTGAACAAACCAGTTATGAGTAATGAGAGTAAATCAGTAATAAAAGTGTCCTATTGAAGAAAAGCCCAGGACCTATGGCTTCACTGCTGAATTCTATCAAACATTTAAGAAAAAACTAATACCACTTCTCAAACTATTCCAGAAAATTGAAGGGAAGGGAATTCTTCCAAACTCATTCTATGAAGAATTATCCTGATAACAAAACCAGACAACAACAAAAAAAGAGAGAGAGAACTATATGTCAATATCCCTGATGAATATGGAGTTAAAATCCTTAACAAACTACTAACAAAGCAAATATGCCAGCACAGTAACAAGATCATTCACCATGCTCAAATGTGATTTATCTCAGGGATGCAAAGATAGTTCAACATGTGCAAATCAACAAAAATGATGCATCAAGTGAACAGAATGAAGGACAAAAAAAATATGATCATCTCAATAGATGTACAGAAAGCATTTAATGAAAGCATTTTATCCCTTAATGATAAAAACTCTCAACAAACTAGGTGAAGGAGTGTACCTTAACACGATAAAGGTCATATATGAAAAAACTACAACTAATATTATACTGAATGGGGACAAGCTAAAAGCGTTTCCTTTATAGCTTTTAAGAACTAGAACAAGACAAGGATAGTAGATAACAAACACAACAAAAGTGTCAACAAACTAAGTGTAAATAAATCATTCAGAGGTGGATCTTTAACTCCAAAGATTAAGGAGAATTTTGCCTTTGAGTTGGTTCTTAATTTAGAGTTTTCACTTGAGACCTAAAGTCCTCTGGAGATTAGGTCCCATGACTGGCATTATCTTTATAGGTTGCTTCTAGCAACTAGCAGCCTCTAAGGTCTTCCACTTTCCATTTGCAAATGAAGCTTCAAGAAATGCTCCAGAAGTAGGCAGATTTCAATACAACTATTACCTATTCCTAGTAGATGACTATCCTGTAGATTTCAGCAATTAGCAATAAAGGACAGAGCAGGGTAGGAATTTTTTTTAAGCTTTATAAGAAAATAGGTAAACATTTTCCTACGTAAGAATTTGGAACTGAGTCTACAGGTCACTCCTAATGACCAAATAATGAAAGGTATGTTTCAGATGGACTACTTAACATTTAACATTTACTTTTTGGGCTAGAAATAATTGATGAAAGAGCTGACTTAGTTTCTGAGATTGGTAGAAAACAAAAAATATGTTAAATCTTAAATTCAATCTGTGGACTGTCTGGGGATACTGACAAAGTTTCACATGTCATTTCTTACTTCTGCCAATTGAGGCTGAGGCACAGTTTCTGATAAAGAAGAAGGGATGGTTATAACAAACACCTAATAGTTGAAATGGGTGTTGAGAAATGGGGGAGGATATCTTGGTTCATCTCTCTTCCTCTGTCCCTCAACAATAGTGAAAGCAAATAGTGAAAGGTTGGGAGATGGAAAATAGGTCATAACTTTCTAAAATTTTACTTGTTAAAGGCAATATTGATATTGCTAATATTATCCTAGCTACTAGCAGCCTCTAAGTTCTTCCATTTTTACTGATAATAATAGGCTAATATTAAAACCCTACTTCTATAATATATTCATTTCTTTTTTTTTTTTTTTTTTGAGACAGAGTCTCACTTTGTCACCCTCAGTAAAGCGCCATGCCATCACAGCTCACAGCAACCTCCAACTCTTGGGCTTAGGTGATTCTCTTGCCTCAACCTCTCGAGTCGCTAGGACTACAGGTGCTTGCCACAATGCATGGCTATTTTTTGTTACAGTTGTCACTGCTGTTTTAGCTGGCTGGGGCCATGTTCGAACCCACCACCCTTGGTATATGGGGCTGGCGCCCTACCCACTGAGCCATAGGCGCTGCCCTATATTCATTTCTTAAGTAGTTACATGTTAAAATATGTAGAGCTACACTAAGCCCTGGTCATTTTTAATCATCATATTGTTCTTTATGTTCACAAGATCTCATTATCTGTCTTAAAAATCCTCTAAGCATTGACTCCATGAAAACAAAAGTAGAAAAATAGTTCTTTACTTAGGTGAATATCCAAAATTAATTTAAAAAAATTAAATTTGACTTTAGCACCATTAGTGAGAGTATCACATCCTCAGAACCAAAGACTATAAAGGCAAAACAGCTATAAAGGCAAAAAGAGGTGTGAGGAGATATAAATATAAAAACCTTTAACTAGTTGACCAATTAAAGAGAGGATAAACAAAGATAATTGAAATCCACTGACAATTTTAAAATTACATTTTGAAGAAGTTTTATTTTTCATTTGAAGAGATAAAAAATAAGGAGTAAAACTGATGTGATTTTCAAATCCTTTTCCTTTGCTAATGAACAATGCAATCAGAGACAAAATGAAAACAAAATTTTTGGTAATTAATAGACTGGATAGGTTTAAAAAATCAGTAAAAGTTGACTGTCAATACACTTTGATATTAGAAAGCATACACCCAGTTTTTGTTAGAAAGGAAGATTAAACAGCTGGTGATGTGTTACAGAGGAAGGAAAGAATAAAGGGGGTCTAACTATAACAAACTATAACAAAAGCTATAACTTTTTTGGGTCCTCTTCAAATCTTCATATCACTAAAGGAAAGTAGCTGCTTGGAAGTGTGACAGAGAAATAATAGTAGCTCCTGGGCTTATCTCAGAAGGGACACTGGCCTTTGATTCCAATAGTTAGGGCACTGCAGGATAGACACTATCTTCTCCAAAGAGGGAAGGAAAGTTAGTACCCAGAGCAAGGGCCCTTTAGTCCTTACAAACTTTGAGCTTCAAGAAATCCTCTGTATCACATGAATTGGAGACTTAAATTCATCTTTGGGGAAGGCCTTTTCTTCATTATGAGAAAGCTACCCTAAAGGGCCCTTTAGTTATAAGAACTGGAGAAAGTCTCCATCTGATCCAATGTATAGGGGAAAAACTATGATGTCATAATTATTCTGAAAGCATCCATTCTAGAGCAGCCTTATGAGCTGGTGTGTTAATAGTAGTTGTACATAGTTGAGCCAGTTTTTAATTTGGTATTAGAGTGCCTACATAAAAGCAATAGCTCAGAGTCTTCGTAGATTCCAAATGAATATTTATTAAAATGAAAGTACAGTATAGTGATATAAAATTAGAAAACTTGAAAATAGGACTAAGAACAAGAAATCGAGATAATGAGAGCTCCTAAAGGCAGATAGAATCAATCAATTACAATCTTCCTCTTGATTCCATTTCATTCATGTAAACAAAAATCTCTCTGCAGAAATTTAGGGAAATGAATGACTCCTTCTCATCCACAGCCTTTGCCCCTTCATAAAATTAAATCTTTTTTTTTGCCGTTTTTGGCCAGGGCTGGGTTTGAACCCGCCACCTCTAGTATATGGGGCTAGTGCCCTACTCCTTTGAGACTTGGGCACCACCCCAAAATTAAACTTTTTTTAAGGCTCAGAGTAAGTATTTAAGTACTTGTTGACTGATTGAGATTTTATTTTCTAAGAGTTTAAGTTCATCTAAAATGTCCCTGAGAAAAAAAATGCCTATTTGATGTGAAAATTATGTCTCCATGGACACACCCTGATATGATAGTGGTGCACTAGCTACAGGTTTCCAAATTTCTATCCTTCAAGCCAGTGAAAGAAAGGAAATCCAGGCTCTTCAGTTTAGCTTCGGCATGATCAGTAAATTCCCTGGAGGCCTTCTGCAGTGGAAGCCGGGGTGGGCCCATTGGAATCCCAGAGACCAGAGACATGATGGCTTTCGTCTGTGATACTCCAAAACCTAGACAGGAAAAAGAAATGAGGAAACGTGACTGGTACTGTCCACTTCTCCAGAAACATCCCAAAGAAAAGACCATCTGCTAACAGCAACTACTACAATAGGATAAGGTGAAAATATAAGAATATTTCTGGTCGACATGACAGATTGAGCAGATGTAGGAAACCCCTTTTGCTGCATCAAATCCATAGGAATGCTAGAAAATTTTAACAAATCAACAAATGGTAAAAACAAAGGCTCAGTTGATTTTAAAACCAAGAAGGAGGCACCAAATGTGTCAGGAATAAAGCCAGAGGGATGAGGAGAAGTGAAGCCAAATAGCTCTTGAGGATAATCTGATTTAGGAATATACTGTTGTTAATCAAGTGATGTTGGACTTCATTGCTAGGACAGAATTTAGTTCAATGTCATTGAGAAATGTACCACTGTAGGTGGCTAATGACTCAATGCTGCTGTTTTAGTGCTGTTTTAGTCAGGAAGCTGGCACAAGAAGGGAAGGAAAATGAAGGCGTCTATGCATGGTGAGAAGCTGGAATAAATGCCCTGTATAAAACTGGTAGCCAGACTTCTATGAAAAGCAACTGAAGAAAACCCAGGCCATTGGTTTGGGGATTGACAAGGAAACTGGACTTGTGCCAGGGCTTTCTATGGAAAAAGACCTCATGAAAAAAATCCCAAGTCCATGCCCCAGGTGAATGTGGGATCCAAATTTGCATTATACACTTGATATAGGTACAAGACTATGAAATTAACTAAAGACTGGTCAGAACTGGTGGAACTAAAATGTCCCAGTAAAGGGAAATGCAAAATAGGGTACCTGACAACTCAGGGTACAATGAATTACCCAGTAAACAGCAGTCTCAGAAGATGAGCTCAGAGGTAAAAGTGTAATACATAGCCCAAAAGGAGAAGAGAAAAAAGAGAGCAGCCAGCATATGCAAAAATGACAAAATTCACATCCTGACAGCAGATGATAGAAAATTCTGAAAAAGACTTCACAGAGATAAAAGAATGAATAGAACCCATAGGCTAAAAGAAGGATAAATAAATAAAAAAACAATTTTTTTAAAGCCAAAGAGAAATACTGAAAATAAAAATATATATTCAGAGAAATTAAACTATAGAAAACATAGTTAAAGAAAGAATTAGTGATTTTTAAAGGTAGCGCTAAGGAAATGATCTAGAATAAAGCATAGAAAGTATATATTAAATATCAAGAATCATTAAGATACAGATTTAGAAGACCCAAATATATCTACTGTGCTTTCAGAATGAGGGACTTGAGTGAACACAGTCAAGAACAATATTCATAGAGAATAGCAGAAACAAATTATTACTATTATTATTATTATTTTTTGAGATGGAGCCTCCAGCTATCCCCCTGGGTAGAGTGCCATGGCATCACGCTCACAGCAACCTCCAACTCCTGGGCTCAAGCGAGTCTCCTGCCTCAGCCTCCCA